GCGGCCGCCGCCATTTCCGGCGGGTCCTGCGCCCAATACTGAGGTTCGGACGGGCCTTCGGGCGACCCTTATCGGAGTGCGGACTGTGATTCGCGGTCCAGCCGCGCCCGTGTTAAAGGTACGTATAAGAAAGTCTGGGGAAACGGCTGCCCAGGTCCACCGCTGACGGGATCTGATATCGAGAGATAAGATAACCGCGTTTGCTGACATTCTGTTTGGCTCGTGGCGGCTGATGATGCTTTTTTGGGGGGCAGATGGAGCAGGGGGGAGGCGTGAGTTTTATGCAGGGCGTGATTGACGGGTGCACCAGGTGAGGTGCCCAACCCGGGGGCGAGCAGTTGAGATCCACGGCCGCAAGAGTGGATGAGAGACGGTCAGCATGACCATGGATTCACGTGGAAACGTCCGTGTTTGAAAGTTGCAGCAGGCGGTTGGCTGTCTTCCTGACTGCCGCGATCCATGTTCCCCTCAATCTGCCTCTCCCCCTCGCACTCCGAAATCGCCCGGAGCGGTGGACGGGGCTTCGAGCTGCGAGCAACTCTCGCAATGCTGCGATTTCATTAGTAATATTTCCAAGGGGGACGGTGCTCCCGGGGGGCCTCATGACTAGCCTCAACCCAAGTGACCGATTGCCGGAGATAATGTGGACGCCCCGATGTTAGCCGGAGGCCGTTGCGGAGACAGCTCTCAGCTTATCTGCTACCGTGAGACCCACCTCGTCCGTGTGGCATAAGAGACGGCGCTTGCACACCACCATCGTTCAGTCACCGTGGCTCTGCTCATCTCTCTTTCTTGGTTCAACCTGTCGTCAAGTCTTGGAATCTCCTCTTAAAGCTGCTGTACAAACCACTTCCACAACAACAACCCTTCACCAAAGATCACCCAACCCCACCAGCCATCTTCACAATGGGTTCCATGCCAACTCCCCTGCGCGTCGCCATCGTCAAGGCGTACGACCTCGAGGAGCCCAAGCACAGGGGCATGGTCCAGTCCTTCAGCGACAACATCCGCCGCCACGTCCCGGACGCCCTCGTCGACGCATACCAGCCCATGGCAGACATCAGAGACCTCCCTGAGCCTGCCAACTACGACCTCATCATCATCACCGGCGGCTTGAGCAACCTGTGCCAGGCCCCCTCTTGCTACGAGCCCTGGGTCAACGCCGTGCTCGAGTGGATACGCGGGGTCGTCTCGACGCAGCCCATCACCAGGACGAAGCTTATGGGCGTGTGCTGGGGTCACCAGGCTATCGCCACCGCGTTGTCTGGGTCTATTGGCAGCTTCGAGTTCCCAAGAGTGCGTTCACGCCATTCTCCACGTCAAAAACGTAAAGGTAATTATGAACTCGTGACTAACAATGTGTCTGTGACAGGTCGGCGTGGAAGAACTCTCTCTCAACCAAGACGGCCAAGCCCTCTTCGGCAAGAACTCCATCGTAAGTTCATGTCACCACCAACCCGTGAACACCCTCCACACTCGAGCGCGCTAACCCGCACCTCCACCCCTCCAGAAAATCACAAAGTTCCACAAACGCTTCGTCAAGGACGTCCCCGCGGGCTTCAGGCCGCTGGCCCCCGACAACGAGATCCTCTTCGCGGACTCGGGGCTCGTGCTCTCCATGCAGGGCCACCCGGAGATCCAGGGCGAGCTCGCGCGGCAGCTGTTCGACCACGACGTGGCGTACTACCGGCAGACGCTGCCGACGGAGGAGGACCTGCAGCGCTACTTTGCGCAGATGAACGACAGCAAGGAGGACGGCGAGCTCATTTTCAAAAAGGTTGCAGCGTGGGCTGCCTCATGAAGGGCGTCGCGGCGGGAAGAGAAAAGTTCGATTCTAGGCACATGGTTCAAAATAAAAAGCGTTTCTTCTTTTCGGTCATTTGAGGCGAGGTCGTTTAGTGTGAAAAGTCATGGATTAGGTTCTATGACTTGCTCCTGTCGATTCCTGAGAGCGCTATCATCCCAACCGCGTGGAGGACGTTTGCGCCTGAGCTCTGTCCAACGCCTGCGAGAGATCTTCCGTCTTTCTTCTCCTGACATCACCAGCGCCGTACGGGTAGTCACACCCGTCCTCCACCGCCGCCGAAGCCCGCGCCGCATCCTTCCGCCGCTCCGCCACCAGCCACCGCGACGCAGTCACCACGGCAAACACAACATCGACAAAGTTGAGCGCGTCCACCAACGCCTTCCATTTGAACCCGACAGCAGGGACGCGTGTCTCTGCTGTACTTTGCCTCCCGTCCCATACGGGGTCGTCATGCTGGCGTGCCCAGCCGTCGTGGCTGCGCGTCACCAGGACGTGGTGAAGGGGGTGTTGGTCGTTATTCCGTACCACGCTGCCGTCGCTGTGGGAGTCGTCTTTGGTGTCGGTTCGGGCACGGTATGGTTCGTGGGGGTATGCGAAGATGTGCAGGATGGAGACGGCTGCCATCTCGAAGCAGAGGATTGTGTTGGGGATTCCGACGGCCCATGAGGGGTAGGATATTGTGGGGGTGGGTTTAATTGGGCCGTCTTCCTTCATTAGGAAGCTGAAGATGAACTATCAGGGCGGTCAGCGACGATCATTGGGAGGATGTAGCGCGGAGCTGTTTGACGATGTATGACTTACTGTCTGGACGTAAAAGAGAAACACCACCAACTTGATGGCGAGGAACTTCAGCAGAGGTTGGTGGGTCTCGAGCTCCTTTTTGGTCTGCTGGTAGAACTGGAGCAGACACATCATTGCCGTTACCAGCGACAGAATCTCAATGACCATAACCTTTGCATTACAATCAGCGATTGAGCTTTCTGGTATCTTTGCGGAGGATGTCAACGTACCCAGATCTTGGCATGACTAGCACTGTTCGACTCCTCGCAGTACACGTCCGCGGCCTCAGTAATGCACTTGACAAGAGCGCCGAGGAACTTGACGATACAGAATTGAAAGACGCAGAACCAGATAGTCTTACTGAAGTCAGCATGTACCCCCAACCATAGAGAACCTCTCAAGACGCACGTTAAACCACTTCAACCCGTTCACGCTCCGATCTTTCCTGCGCCCGATGTGGACTACCAGGAACCGTATCGGGTGGATCCACGGCTTTGGCTCGACCAGGGAGAACGCCCGCCGCAGCGTAGTAGGATCGGGATGTAAGAGCTGGCATAGCAGCAGGAAGAAGGCCGCGATGACGAGGGACTCGTAGAACTCGTAGATGCTGGCGAGGTAGACATGCTGCTTATAAAACTCGATGCTGAGGGTGCAGGCAATGGTGTAGATTGGGACCATCAAGAGGATGCGGATGATTCTGAGAAGAGAATTGGTGTCAACTGAGAGTTTCCATGCGACTGCGTGGGGATCTTACTGTTTCTGTTCGCTTGGTTTCGTGTAGTGCCTGGCGTGTTGGAAGACCTGCCAGGCTGTGAGGCAGCATGCTACGATAGTTGCGGAGGTTGAGAGGGATAGAAGGAGACCGTGGACGCGGATGCCGCTCGTGAGCTTCTGCTCAACGACTAGAGCGCGGCGCGTTAGGCATGCTCTCTTTGTGAGACAATGTCGTCTATGGGTAACTTACTTGGCACGTTGAGCGGGTGCTCTGTGCACTTCGCCATTCGGAAGTCAACAGCTCGCTGGTTCCACGGAGGAATCCAAATTGCTCTCTTGCCAAACGCAGTTCTCTTCAATTCCAGATGATTTCCACTGCCGCGATTACTGCTTGTCAACGAAAAGATGGTTGTTGTTGTGATGCTGATTTCAATAACGAGTAGAATGTAGACTAGTGATGACTGAGTCTGTTACTTATTCCCTCCTCTCCCCATGCGCGACGTCAAGACAAACTTTCCGACGGCTCCTTGCCGCACTCCGGGATGATCTTAATTGCCGTCCCGTTGACGGGGGTTAGCCGTTACTTAACCAATGGAGCCGAGAGCAGCATTTACCAAGAGTTGTACTGAGACATTGCTCACCGCGAAGGCGGAGGTTTCTCCACTAGGCTGAGTTTCATAGCCACAAGCTCATCAACGCTGGATAAATATGTGCGGGAGGGATGGGGGGTTTTTACAGTTCTGTGCCTGACTCGTTTTGTGCAAATCTGACCTCGTAAATCTAATATGATGACGACCGCAGATGGGTTGGGGGCATGCGCCGCGCCTCAGATCTGCCTTGGCTTGGCGCGTTCGTGCATGCTCTCCACACCGGTGCTTAAATGAACTTCGGAATCCCGACGTTGGGGGCGTTTTAAAATGCGATGGATGGTGTTGAACCCCCGATGTATCACGGTTGAAGCCCCGACATTTCGAGAATGAAAATCCGACGCATGAGAAGCGAAAACCCGACGCGGTTGAAAAGCCGAAATCCATTGGATTTACTTTTTTTCGTACAACGCGGTGATACTTTACAGTCAAAGCATCCAATCGAGTTGACCGATGACGCAGTGTCGTAGGTGATCTCCCGCCGGCAGTTGACTCGGGGCCACAACCCCTTCATCCTTCACCCTCAACCACGACATCTGAGGAGGACTTTCATAGCTCGGAAGCACGCACGTTCCACCAAGGCCGGTGAACCGTCCACATGCCTGATTTGGTCTGCTTTGAGAGGCGTGGCCAATCATCTCGAAGATATTGCTCATGTCAATGCCTGTCATCCGAACTTGGTCTTGCATAGGTGGGGATGTCGCTGCACTGTGGTACAGCTGCTCGCGAGTGGCGCATCACAAACAGGGTCTCACTGTCGACGATGCTACCCACAGAAGCCACCACTAGTTCTACTGCCCGAAATCCGTCTGTTAATGCAGCTTCTGCAGCATATCTCGGAGTGAAAGGCTTCCGTGAGAATGAAGACCATCGCAGTTGTGCATGCCAGCAAGAGGAGAAGTCGACCTTCAGAATGCTTAAAAAAGGAGAGAACCCATCTCAAACACCCAGGCTCTTCTTACTCATCCCTCACATAATCCATTCAACAACCTTCCCACCTTCATCAAATACAGCATCACTCACATCAACACCACCATCAAACATCATCAGAGATGGCATCCTCATCGCCCGTAGCCCATCCGTCCTCGTGGGTAGACACCGCCCTCCCGCTGGGCCTCGAGCTGCAACCGCACGGCTACATCATCACCGCCTTCCTCGTGGTTCTCGTCACATCCGTCGCCTTCAAACTTGCGAAACGGGACAACAGCATCCCCTTCGTCGATCCGCCGACATGGCTCCGCCCCCGGCCGCTGGCACGGATGGATTTCTTGAAGACGGGCATGAGCGTCCTCGACAAGGCGAAGTCCTCGGTTGCGGACAAGCCGTTTAGGGTGTTGTCGGAGAACGGCGATTTGACGGTGTTGCCTCCGCGGTTTGCTCACAGTATTCGGAATGAGGATGATTTGAATTTTAGGGCGTTCATCAAGGCGGTACGTACTTTTCGAGTCGTTATGCATCACACAGCTATTTCAAGATGCGTTGTTGGCTATTGGTTGCTTGTCAAACATTTTGGTAGACTAACGCATGTTGCGTAGGACTTTCACTATGGGATTGCGGGTTTCGAGCCCTTCGGCTTCGTTGACCATGACTCTCAGATCCTGCAAAATGTTGCGAGGAAGCAGCTTACGAAGTACCTCAGTAAGTTCACTTTAACAGTTGAACATGCACTCAAGCTGATAAGACGGACTTTCAGACACAGTAACCGAACCTCTCTCACTCGAAACAGCCTTTGCAGCAAGTCACATCTTTGGCGAGTCTCCGGGTAAGTCACTCCAACCGCAACCCTTCCTCCCCGTCTCTTGATCTAACAACTCCCGGAAAGAATGGCGCTCAATCCCCGCCAAAGACGCGATCCTCGACCTCGTCGCGCGCCTCTCCTCGCGCGTCTTCCTCGGCGACGAGCTCTGCCGTAACGAGGCCTGGCTGCGCGTCACCAAGGACTACACCGTCATCTCCTTCATGGCCGCGATGAAGCTCACCTTCGTGCCCCGGCCGCTGCGGCCCCTGCTGCACTGGTTCCTCCCGGACTGCCGCCTCGTGCGGCAGCACCTGGCGCAGGCGCGCGCGCTCATCAGCGGCGTGATCGAGCAGCGGCGCGCCGCCAAGCACGAGGCCGCGGCCAAGGGGGAGGAGGCGCCGAGCTACAACGACGCCATCGAGTGGGCTGAGATGGAGTGCAAGGGGCAGGCGTACGACGCGGCTGTGTTCCAGGTACGTTTTTGGATTGATCTTGGGTGCTGGATTTTGGACTGATGGGTGCGAAAAGTTGACGCTGAGCTTTGCGGCGATTCATACGACTACGGATCTGTTGGCGCAGACGATGCTATTCCTTGCGAACCAGCCGGAGCTGATCACGCCGCTGCGCGAGGAGGTTGTGCAGGTGTTGAAGGCGGAGGGGTGGAGGAAGACGGCGCTGTATAACATGAAGCTGATGGACAGCGCGCTGAAGGAGACGCAGCGGATGAAGCCGAACTCAATGTGTAAGCTCCTCCCGTTTCATGGTCCCGAAGACAAAGACTGACCATTGTCTTTAGTCCAGATGCGCCGCCTCGCAACCAAGGACATCACCCTCGACGAAGGCATCACGATCCGGCGCGGCGAGCGCCTCGTCGTCGACGCGTCCGCAATGAAAGACCCCAAAATCCACGGCGAGGATGTGGACACGTACGACATGTACCGGTTCCGGCGGATGCGCGAGGAGCCCGGCAAGATGCACAAGGCGCAGCTGGTGACGACGAGCCCCGAGCACCTGGCATTCGGCCACGGGCAGCACGCGTGCCCGGGGCGGTTCTTCGCGTCGAACGAGGTCAAGGTGGCGCTGTGCCATCTGCTGCTCAAGTACGACTGGAAGCTGGCGCCCGGCAACACCGCGGACCCGTTCGTGGTGGGGGTCGCGAGGCAGATCAACCCGAAGACGGTGATTATGTTTCGGAGGAGGAAAGAGGAGTTGGATATTGACTCGTTGGACTTTGCGGTCGAGGGTGGTGAGAGGGAGTAAGATTGCTTGAGGGACGTGCTAAAGAGTTTTCTCTCAGAATGTTCTGTTGTTAACTCAGTTTCCTTGTCTTCATAACCCGGACCACAATATCTGAATCGAGCCTCTGTCATAATAGTAACAGTATTATGCTCTACCGTTGAAGCTACGCAGTTGCAATAGTCGAACCACCATTGTCCACGATTCAAACACGATCCAGAGCGGGTTCATGTAACGTCTCCTGAATCGTGTCTAAAGAGTCCATCAGTGGGCTGGTAGGGCTTTGGAGATCCGCCCGGCTTCCGAGCAAGCATGTCAACGGCCCCGCCGAGTTGCCGTTCAGAGACTTGAACGACTCGATCACTTACCCAATGCGTACAGAACCACTGTTGCGAGCCCAAATCGAAGTTAACACGTGTATGTAGTGAAAGTCGTTTTCATTGCTGGAGAATTCTGAGTGTTGGCTGGTTTCCGTGTCAACAATCTCGCGAAAAGGACCCCACGAAGCTTGCATCGCGGGGTTAGGTAATAGGTAGCCTGACAGGTCTCCAGTCGACGCCGCAGACGCACACTACGGTCGACTGCCGGCCCCCACCCTCCCGAGATCGAAACATGCATGTTTGCTGCCCGACAACTGACAAGTGACGCGATAAGGACCAACAGACCCGTGCAGCAGGCGGGCCACCCGCCAGCCCGCGCGATATCTCTCGCAGTCTCTGCCAAAAGACTCCCAATAAGGGGAAATTGTCATGAGCACCGTTGGTGGCCGAGCGCTGCAAAAACTGGCGCACCGCGCGGGCAACGAGCCAATGACAACCCTGTCCTCCTCAGGCGACTGTGGGCCGCGTCGAGGGCAGCGGGCGCCGTTAATTGGCCCGCATGGGACGGAGTGCGGGGCCGGGGAATGGCTTGGCCGGCAGCCCGGGGTCATCCGCAATCTGGGCTCTCGTTTCCCCCCTCAAACCCCTAAAACGGTAGCTATTAAATTGACAGGGTCGTTTTATGAATTTTCCCGATCTAACTGAATTAGGCACTCAAATGGGTTAGTATAGCCACGCTATAGTAATCCCACTAAAGTCTAATATACCTAAGTTTTTAAGTATAAATACCCTTAGCTAAACACTTAAACCTAAAAAGCCCTACTTAGTTAAATCTTAGCCCTCTAATTAGCTTAGATTAACTAGAGTTTTACTAAGTTATTAAATAATTTAAAAACTCCTCAGATTTAAATAATTTAAGGCCTAATAGTTAGTTTTATTAATTTTAATTAAAAAGCTATTATATTATATAACTTTTAATAGGTATAAAAGAGTATATTAATAACTACTTATAGCTACCTCTAAGTTTATAATCCTAGTAGTAGCTAAATCCACTCTAATAACTATACTAATAATAGTAACTATATTAATAGTATCAAAAAGATATATTACTATAGTAATAGTAGTAATTTTAGCTAGAGGAGCTAACTTTACTATTATAATATAGTAAATACTTACTAATACTAAAAATCTTCCTCTTACTAAGCTAGTAATATATCTTCTTACTACTAGCGTAGTCTCTTAATATTAATCTATTATTATTAATAAAGAGTTTAATAGCTAATAAGAGCCTTAATAGAGGTAGTAAGAGTAGCTACTATACTATAGAGCTTAATAATCTTACTTACTATTTATTTTAGCTTCTAATATATACCTCTACTACTATCTCTACCTACCTAACTTATAGCTAGTATTAGCGTTACTAAAGCCTATAATATAAGCGTAAACCTCTTAGAAGCCTTATAAGCCTCCTATATAGAAGGTATATATTAAGTATTACTTAAGTTAACTATAGGGGGGGCTTTATTATTAGAGGAGTTAGGATTATAGTATTAATACTAAGTGTTTCTCAGAATAATATTTAGGTTAAGCTTAAAGGTAAACTATCTAATCTTAATTAATTTAGGCTAAAGATATTAATAAAAAGTTAATAGCTAATAGACTAAAATACTTATATTGCTCTAATTAAAGTACTAGTAATTATTAATATCTTTAATATAGAGAACCCTACTATTACTACTATATAGTTAATCTAATAGGTTATAGTAGTAAAGTAAACCTTACTACTTCTAAAAAGCACTAATATAAATAGTAAGTAAGCTTTTCTACTACTTAAATATATCTTTAGTAGTATTATATTAATTATAAAGAAGTTTAAGAGCTTAAAAAGAAATATTATAAATAAAGCTATTAATAAGTTTACGCTTTTTTTAGGTAGTATATTATTTATAAACCTTATTACTAAACTTTACTTAATATCACTCTTACTTCTTAATAACTATCTTAAATATTTTAATATATAGAATATATAGATTAGAGAGGTAATAAATAAGATAAGATTTTAACTTATAGTAGCTACCCTTAGTAAGTAATATTATCTTATAGCTATAATTTTAAAGTTAATATATAAAATAGTTAATAAACTCTTTAAGGCGTAAGATATATATTATCTAGAAGTATTTAAAAATATCTAAAAAATTAGTATTAATCTAAATACTATAAGACTATATATACCTAGCTAGTTATAAAACTACTACTTAATATATTACTATGCTTTTTTATATACTTTATATATTAATAAGTAAATATAAGTACTCCACACCTTAATAAAGCTATTAGTATTATAGTTATAATCCTTCTTAGTAAGGGCCTCACTAATACTTTCTAGGTATATAGCTACCTCTACTATAAGTTAAATAGTAATCTTATAACTTTAGGCGTAAAATTAAGGCTTAATAGTATTATTACTAGCGTTAAAGGTAGTAGTAGCTACCTTATTACTCTTAAAAGCTTATAGGCCTACTTATTTTTTCTTAGTATTCAAAATAATATTTTTAAATATATACTATATATAGAGCTATTACTTTAAGAGAGGAAATATATCCCTAGTAGCACGCTTTAAATTAGTATTAAAGTTAGTAATAATAACACTTAAGTTAAGTATAAAGTTCTTAAGGAGAAACTTATATAGTTAGAGTAGTACCTATTAGAAAAATTTAGTAGTTTTAATAGAAATAAAGTAAAAGCTAGTATTAAACGTAATATTAATAGTAGAGAGACTAATAACTTAGAAAAGAGGTATTTAGAATTAATTAATCTACCTTATACTTCTATTAGTAAAAAATTAAAATAATAATAAATAGGGAGGTAGTAGAAGTATATATTACTTACTTTATATATATTATCTATTATTAATAGTTTTAAGTTTCTCCTCAATATCTCTAAGTAGGGCTAATATATCTAAAAAACACTATTAATCTTACTATTATCACTATATCAAACTATATAGTAAAGTATATTATACCTCTTAGTAAGTTTATTAAAGAAGAGCTAGGTTAATAATAATAAGCTATATTTTTCCTACTAGAGGTGGTACTACTAGTTATATATATTTTATAAACTAACCCTATAGCCCTCCTACTTAAGAAGGTTTATAATTATATATAATATTAGGTTATTCACTATAGAGAGCTCCTTAATATACTTAAAGAAGCTTTTTTTTAGGAGGCTACTAGAGGTCTTTATAGCTTACTTAACCTTATTAATAATAAGTTTTTAGAAGGCTAAAACTATATTAAACTAAGCTTAAGGAGTAATAAGGTAGTTATAATACTTAAAGCTATTAAGGACCTCTTATACTTAGATCCTTATAGTAGTAATATATTAAATTTTACTTTTAAACTAATAGTTATATTACTTAATATAGCTTTTTCTCTTTAATATAGTTAAAATATACTTACCCTCTTAATTATATATAATATTATACTAGTTACTATTATTAGAGGTCCTCTTTTTATATATAGTAAAGCCCTTAGTATAGAGAGTAATATAAGTGTATAGCTAGCACTCCTTAAAGGTAGGGGCTTAGATCTAAGTATTAGATATACCCTTAGTCCTAAAAAAATATAGGATATATAAGAAAATTAACGATTTAATATACCTAGAAGATAGGTAGTATAATAGAGGCCTTAGAGTAGTAATCTTAGTTACGTACGTGGGTAGGGGTAGCTTTTTAGCTAAGTCGGCGGCGTTAATATTAATAAGTTGTATTGTGAGAGGGCAGTACTTGGAGGGGTGGATTAATCGTGGCGGCGGTGGCGCGGCAGCCAAATTAGGCTAGCGCGGGCAAATTAACAAAACGACCCCGTCAATTTAACAGTAACCCCCAAAACTGCCCGTTCCCCCCCTTCCCACGCCTTCGAAGGGTCTCGCCTAGTAGTCGCCCGCCGCTCGCAACCAACCTCTCCCCCTTGACAATTTAAACAAGAATCCCCCTTTCCTCTTTTCTTTTCTTTTCTCCCGCGTCATTAGTGGAGCGGCGGTGCTCCTGTCACATCTCGCCCGGCCCCCTCCTCGATCCTTTCTCACAAGCTAGCCACGTCCGTCGCTGGAAGAGGGGAGACACAGATCTATCTGGCTGCGTACCTAGGTAGTGCGAGATCTCTATCTATGGTAGTCCCAGTGGGTTTTCATGTTTCACTGCACGGTCCCCCCCCTCCTGCGCGCGCGCACCGCAGACGGCTATTCGTACCATCATGGCCAACAGCCAACCGCCCGCGACGTCCACCACCACCATCACCATCACCACCAGCGGCCGTGATGCCGCCGCAGCATCGCTCCAGCAGAAGCCGCCCCCGAGGAAGAGGAAGTCGACCCCGCGCTCTCGAGAGGGCTGCTTGACCTGCCGGTAAGCTCCTTTCTGTCGAGTCGCCACACCGCGCCCGCCCACGCGCACGCGCCGTGTACCTTTTTACTTTTTCTCTCATTTCTCTGTGGTGTTTTCCCCCGACAGGCCCGCTGCGGCTGCAACCCCCCTGGATTTTCATCACTTTTTCATGTTTCTGAGTTGCGATGAGCGGGAATTTCGGGCAACGCGACACGTATTTGAGAATGACGGAAAAAGAGAGAAGAGAAGAAAGACATGGAGCGCGCAGACACTTCAGCAATGGCACAGGCTGACTTTGTGACGTTCTCGCGACCAACAGC